GTCCCTTGTATTAGATTTCTGTCATGCTACTGCTTGTTTTAACTAGGCTTGTATTTATATTCCTTTGGAGTTTCTGGATATGGAAACTCCATATCTTCATAGCTAACAAATATAGTAATGATAACAATAAAAAAAGCAAAATAAGAGCTGGGAAAAGAAAAACCAAAAGAAAGGAATCCCTCAGATACTGAAGAAAATGCCCAGAAGTGAACCCCACAGGCTGGGCTTCAGTTGCTTTCTCTTCCCTTTCTTGTTTCGCTCCTGTCCAGTTCCCTCTATTTCCTATTACTCACACTTCAGAGTTCTGAAAGGCAGCTCATTTTTATTTATTTATTTATTTTTTTGTGGTGATAGGAATCAAACACAAGGGCCTCACACATGCTAGGCAAGTGCTCTACCACTGAGCTACATCCCAGCCTCCAAGTTTTTTTTTTTTTGGTGGTAGTGGGGTTTGAACTCAGGGTCTTAACTTGCTAGGCAGGTGCTCTACCACTTGAGGAACGACCCCAGACCTTTTTGCCCAGACTGGCCTTGGACTGCAGTTCTCCCCTTTCCTCTTCCAGAGTGTCTGGGTTTGTAGGTGTGTACCATTGCACCAGGCCCTCCATTTTTATTTTTTTGGGGGGAAGAAGACAGGGATGATTATTTTTCAAAACCTTTACCTGAATGTCATGTGGCTTTGGCCTTTTGCACTTTACCCAGGACTTGCAGAGGAACTGTTGGGCCAGTGTGGTCACAGATATACATAGTCTTCTGTCTCCTCAGTAAAAACAAAACAAAAAAACCCAAACCAACCAACCAACCAAACAAACAAAAAAACTCTGTTTCACTGCTACAGTTGGTGTGAGTTTTTTTTTAAAGAAATTAAGTTTACTTCAATAGGATTTTCTCATGCATTACTTTCACAAGATCAAATAATAAGATTTTAAAAAGAGTTTCCCTAAAACAACTTAAACCAATTGCTTTAGTAACACTCAGCAACCAAGTTATACTTAAAGAAAAAACCCTGCTTTGTTGTTTTTTTTCTTTTTTTGATCTGAGCTAAAGACTTACAAATAGTTGTTAATGGTATTTGGTTAAGAACTTATTTTAATTGTAGACAGCAAAATATCTACTTATTAAATTTTTTCTTCTTATCAATTCAACATCTTAATGTATTTTGGATAAGGAGACATCCCAGCTTTGTCACAAAAGTTTTTCATCATGCACACGAAGTCTGCTGTGCATCTATATTGGTCCTTGTCAGAGAATAGATTCAATTACACAGATCTCAATGTATTGTATTTATGTATTAAATGTGTCAGTTCAAGAATTTCATGTGTTTCCGTAAGAACTATGATGGAAGCCCGCCCAGTTGGCTTCTGACCCAACTCAGTTTGCCCATATCCCTTGCAAAATACTTGGCTTTGTGGGAGAAAGTGAGTCAAAATAATATTTAGTTCAAGTGACTTTTAAGTCATTTCTTCTGAGATTTAAAATGTATATTCACTTCTTTGAGCTATGGTATTTCAACATTCTGTATAAACACCACAAGAGACCAAACACAGTGGGGTGCTGGTGGCTCACACCTGTAATCCTAGCTATTCAGGAGGCAGAGATCAGGAGGATTGAGGTTCCAAGTCAGCTTGAAATAGTTCAAGAGATCCTATCTCGAAAGCCCATCACAAAAAAGGGCAGGTAGAGTGGCTCAAGGTGTAGGCCCCAAGTTCAAGCCCCAGTACTGCAAGAAACAAAAAGGAGACCAAACACATAAAGTTTCCTAAACATATCTGAAAACCACATCTTTTTCTTAGAGTTCACATCTGCCCAGATAAATTTTGCTTCTGGTTCCATTACTTCCTCAATTTGTCCCCATTGACAAGGACAGTTCTAAAAATAATACCTGTGCTTGCATATGTGAGGCAGTGGGTCCTCTCTTGCCCAAGTTCCAAGTTTATAACTCTGCTGACTGGCTTTCTGGTCTTATTATGCAATAGAAGACTACAGATGTTAATTTGATCTGAGTGTGTTTATACAATAACTTTTATAATGTAAATTGAAAGATGGAGAACCAAGTTTTATGAGGCCAGCATTTCTAGTGAAGTCTCTCCACCCTATTCTAATTGGGATTGACTCTTAAATTGAATGAAGAACAAACAACTCTGCATTTAAACATTTCACTACATGTTTCATTTTGTCTTCAGTAAATGGGAAGATAGAGACCTAAGCAATGGGTAAGATTTACAGTGTGAAATAGATTCACTTTGGGTTTTTTTGGTGGGGGGATCGGAGAGGGAATTCGAAATGTTTTGAAATAGTGCACATCATTTCCTTAGCCAAAATTCAGGACTTTTCCCAAAGATGTGTCAATTTAGACTTATGTAAACAGACTTCTCTAGAAAAATATGACAATACTTACTAATTTGTGAAGCTGAAAATTCTGCACACTACAAACCAGATTTCTTTTGATGAATTAAGAAGTGGAGGTTAGGGACAGGGTAGGATGATCGTGGTTCAAGGCCAGCCTGGGCAAAAGCACAAGACCCTCTTTAAAAACAAACTAAAGCAAAAAAGGACTGGAGACATTCCTCAAGTGGCAGAGTGCAAAGTTCTGAGTTCAATCCCCTATAAATCAGAAAAAGAAAAAAATACAAACAAGCCAAGAGTGGAAACTTCCCAAGGGTAATCTGGTGTGTGTACCTGGAACTCAGAGAGGAGGACTGAGCTGGAGTGTGAGCTTGTGAGTGGCCTGTGTTGGGAGCCAGAAGCATGGACTAGATTCTCTTGTGAGAGAAAAGGACCTCACGCTGAGCCCTGTGGATCTCTAGATAAATGGTGGTAGGAAAATGAATCTGCAGGTAACACCAGGATGAAGGGACCATAGGAGGGCTCTGAGGTGTGACGCACAAGAGGAAAGTGAGTTTCAAGAGAAAGGACAGTCAGTGCCATCAGTGCTCTTGATGGTCCAGTGTGATGTTGACTGAAAATCCCTGTTGAATCTGACAAAGTCGTCATGGGTGAGCTCAAGGAAGCTGCTGTGGTGGGGCAACCAAGGTGGAAAACAGATTGATGTCGGGCTGGCCGGGCGGGAGAGGTAAGAATAAGGTATCCCTGTTGTAGACATTTCTGAGGGGGCCCGCTGGGAAGGAGGGCATGATGGGAGGTGGCAGTTAGGGAGTAAGGGGTCATGCTTTCAGGTGAGAAAAGCCAATGAGGAAGAAGCACTTGAGCGACAGAAATTCAATAAATGAGAGAAGAGAAAGGGAATTTGTGACAGGTGCCATGGCTCAAGCCTGTGGTCCTAGTTAGGTGGGAAGCTGAGATGGGGAGGATTGAGGGTTGAGACCAGCTCTGGCAAAAAGTTCGCAAGACCCCATCTCAACCAATTGCTGAGTATAGTGGTGTGCACCTGTCATTCTAGCTACACAGGAAGCACAAATAGGAGGATCAAACTCCAGGTTGGCTTAAGCATAAAGTGAGACCCTATCTCAAAAATAACTAACACAAAAAAGACTGGTGGAATGGCTTAAGAAGTAGAACAACTGCCTAGCAAGTACAAGACCCTCAGTTCAACACTGCAGGAGCGAGACACAGAGAGAGAGAGAGAGAGAGAGAGAGAGAGAGAGAGAGAGAGAGAGAGAGAAAGAAGAAGAAGAGGGAGGAAGAAGAGGAGGATGAGGATGAGGATGAAGATGAGGCAGGAGGAAGGGCGGGATGGATGGAGGGCGGGAGGAAGAAAGGAAGGAAAGGGATTCATAATTTGGTAACAGTAGTGACAACTAATATCCTCCAGATGCTTATTTCATCCAGTGCACCGAGGTAAATCCTGACAGTTAAAGTCTTAGAGTGCACTTTCTCCAAGTTAGCGAGGAGGCAGGTGAGCCTAGAGACATTCAGCACCTGCAGCTAGTAAGTGATGGACTGACTTCTAACCCTGTGACCATCCACCCAGTTTTGAACTTAGATACTCTGTCCTTCATTTGAATATCTAATTAAGATTCTTTAATTTATATTTTAAGTAGGGCTACTTTTTTATTGTTTTATTCATATGTGCATACAAGGCTTGGTTCATTTCTCCCCCCTGCCCCCACCCCCTCCCTTACCACCCACTCCGCCCCCTCCCTCTCCCCCCACCCCCTCAATACCTGGCAGAAACTATTTTGCCCTTATCTCTAATTTTGTTGTAGAGAGAGTATAAGCAATAATAGGAAGGAACAAGGGTTTTTGCTGGTTGAGATGAGGATAGCTATACAGGGCATTGACTCACATTAATTTCCTGTGCGTGTGTGTTACCTTCTAGGTTAATTCTTTTTGATCTAACCTTTTCTCTAGTACCTGTTCCCCTTTTCCTATTGGCCTCAGCTGCTTTTAAGGTATCTGCTTTAGTTTCTCTGCGTTAAGGGCAACAAATGCTAGCTAATTTTTCAGGTGTCTTACCTATCCTCACCCCTCCCTTGTGTGCTAAAGCTTTTATCATGTGCTCAAAGTCCAATCCCCTTGTTGTGTTTGTTAAGTAGGGCTACTTTGAAACTTCTGTCTGAAGGTTTGATTTCCAATAGTTCTGACAATTTTACAAGTTGCCTGGATATAAACCAAAACAATCCCTACCCCTAGGCTTGTCTTCTGAGAATCCTTGTACTGTGGGCCACACAAAACATCGTGCTGAGGCTGGAAATGTGGCACAGTGGTACAGCACTTACCTATCACCTGGGAGCCCTGACTTCTAGCCTTAGCCCTGCAAAAAAAATAAATAAAGAACCCAACCGCATAGTGTAGCTCAACGTAGACTGTGAACGGAAGGCTCCTTGCCCTAAGAACTCCCTAAGCGATCAGCTCAGGTAAAAATGAGGTTAGCAGAGGTCTTGGTTACACTTGGCAGATGGTGGAGGAGGGCACATTGAGGTAGCAACTTAGTAAGGATGAGAAAGTGGTCTGAAAATGTGCTCTAGCAGTTTCCCTGAAGATTCTGACTGGTTAAATGTCCTGAAATAAAATTCACTTTGTCCCCTTGCTTTTACTAGGGCATAATGACTACATGTGCCCAGCTACCAACCAGTGCACCATCGACAAGAACAGGAGGAAGAGCTGCCAGGCCTGCCGACTCCGCAAGTGTTATGAAGTGGGCATGATGAAAGGTGGTAGGTATACCTGCTTAAGGCCTGGGGGATGCTGGCCATGGTACTGTCCAGACTGGTTCTTTCTATTCTGAATAGTCATCTGGAATTTGGTGTTTTCTAAGTAATTTGTTCTATTCTTATTGTCCTTTGCAACGAAATGAATTTTCATGACACATTTTATTTTTAAAAATTGGAAGTGACTGGAGCTGGAAAGTCTAACATGCCATTTTGTGTTTTATATTTTGAAGGTAAATAATTATATTTTAAATCAGAGGTGTGTGGGAGGTAGTGGTAGAAGGAAATGAAGACAGCGCAATGAATTACTCTGGGAATATTTTCAGTTTCCGTTTATTTTGCTAATTTAGAAAAAATGAAATCAGAGATAAACTTTCTTTCATTTGAGACTTGTGTGCATGAGAGTTAAGTGGCCAATTTACAGCCTTCAAATGTCTTAGCATACCTTAGAGAATGTGAATTTTGATGGAAAGGCATGCTCTCTTTTGGAAGGTATGCCTCTCCTAGACTCTGTGTCTAGTGTAGTGCTGTGGGCACCCGAATGGTTACTGACCGCCAACAAATCCTGAAGCACTCAGCATTTGTGTCCTTGTGCTTAGATTGTGACTGCTGGGATGTGTATGTGTGGGGGTGGTGGGGGAGGTTCCTGCCTCCTTGTGTAGTCAGTCTTCCAGTTTTTTTGTATGGAAATCTGGAGTCCTGTTCTGGGGGTGTCAGGTGCTCCTGATTGACCCCCTTGTACTGTTGGTAGTCTTTTCTTGAGGAGCATTGCTTCTGGTCTTGTGTAGTTCAAGTCAAGTCAGGATGCCCTCAGTGTTTCACAGGGATGGAGGAGGGAGGGAGGGGACAGTGATTGTGCTCTCTGCCCACTGTTCTGGGGGGAAGTTTTCCAAGCCCCGTGAGGCTTGGGATAAACTAAAGAGAACTACGTTGCAATGAGAAAGAATACTGGTTTTGTAAATGAGGTCAGCTAACTTTTAACCGATGAACACCTGGGTGAAGGAGGATGGAGAGAGACACTCAGTGATGGAGATCAGGAGGAGGGCATGCTCGTCTATTACGCAGTTTGTCATGAACGATCCCTTCGTCCTGTGGTCAGGCTGAGACTGCAAACGCAGCACTGAGAATGAATTCCCCTGGTGAAGAGATGAGATGCTGATTTACTCGCTGTGTGAGATGTGACTGTATGCCTTGAACGCTGGAAAAAGAGTTTAATTCGAAAGGTAATGGATTCCAAGAATTGAACATCACCACTCAGAAAATGACACCTTGAGTCATAAATGGATTAAATATTTAAGAAATTAGTTTTTTCTTTGTAGTGTTGGAAAATTAGGCTTAATTAAACTCACAAAAAGCTTCTCAAGGTAACTTGGTAAGTGACAGGAATATAACTGTTACCTGAGAAGAGTTTAAATTGCAACGGAGGAGTACAAGTCTTGATAGTCTTTGGTGACTGTAGATGTAAGCCCAGGACCTTTATTCTCTCTGAAAGTTGAAATAAACAACTTGTGAATATGTCCAAAACATTTTTTTAATTTGATGGTACCCATATATTGACCCCACTTCATAAAAACAATTGGTTATTTCTAATTAATATCAGATACAGTCTCGCTGCATAAATATAAATTATACATCCTCATTTTTTAATCTAACAGAAATTCTAATTTGCAAATTCTAAAGGTCTTCTCACTGTTTTCAAGTAGGACTCTGGATAATTTGACTGCACCTGGCCTGTCTATCATGCATACACTTGTACATGAACGTTTATGACTGAAAAATATATATCCATATCCGTTTTCTGGGGCTGCCATAAAAATACCACATGCTGGGTGACTTAAACAACAAAGTTAATTTTCTCACATTGCTGGATGCTGGAGTCTAAGGTCAGGGTGCTAGAAAATTTGGTTTCTGGTGTAGGTCTCTCTTACAGATTTGAGGGGTCTTCACATGACATTTTCTGTGCCCACACAATCCTGGTGTCTCTTTCTTTTCTTCTACGGACTCCAGACTCATTGGACTAGGGCCTGCCCTGGTGGCTTTATTTAACGTTAATCATCTGAATGAAGGCGGTATTCCAAATATAGTCACATTGGAGCCTGAGGACTCGGTATGAATTTTTTGGGGAGACGCAATTCAGTTGATAACTGGTGTCATGACAGATTGGATGGCTTAATAACAGAAATCAGTTTTGTTCCTGCACTGGAGGTTCGAAGGCTGAGGTCTGTGTATTTGGCTTGCAGATTGTCACTTTCTCCCTGACCTCACAGGACCTTTTCCCTGCCCACACATTTCTGCTGTCTCTTCCTCTTTTTATAAACTCACCAGTCATATTAGATTAGAACCCTACCCTTGTGACCTCGCTTAATCTTATTCACCTCTTTAAAGGACTGTCTCCAGATATAGTTCCACTCTGAGGTCCTTGAGGTTGGGGTTTCAGCATCTGAATTGTGCAGTTGTCTACATAGAATGAAAATGTGTCTTTCTGGCAGTTTATCTATGTACATATGTTTGGAGTCAAGTTTTATGATATAACCACAGTCTGTGAGAACATCTCATTTTAATTATTTGTATAAAGTACTTCCCATAAAGCAATATAATTTATTGCCTTTTCAATAACACTGGATACACACATAACCTCATGACACCATGTATAACAACTCAGAAATCCCACTGAATAAAGATTTAATTTACAACTGGAAGTAAATTATAATTCATTGTAAAATTTACAGTTGTAAAAAGCAGCTGTGACCGAATAAATCTTTACAACTGGTTTCACAACAATCTGGTTTCGTAACCAGGTTAGACACCAATGAGGACATTGAATTTCTACATGCAAATGAAAAGTTGGTGTCAGAGAGCCACATACCTCCCTGCTACTTGCAGGGCTGAATAAATTCTTTGGAGATTTTTTTCTAAAGATCCATGAGAAGTGATTTTACTCTGTTAGAATGCCTCCTGTCCCTGAAAACCCCATTATTGGCTCTGAGTCCTGCAGTTCAGTGACATGCAGGAGTAGGTGGGCCTTAGGGGGCTGTTTCCCACCCTAGTACATGCTCTGATCTCTCTGTCTAGGGTGTTCTGTCTTCTTCAGTTGCCTCTCCTTCAATTGGAGACTGCAGATTAAACGTCTGTGCTCCAGGAAGGACCTCCCTGTTCACTCACTGAAGGTTGGATTCCTGTGTTACAGCTTCATGGCAAACAGCTCTTAGCACTTGTTAAACGTCTGTCTCTTTCTAAGATTCCTAAACTCTATGGGGGGCAGTCTGGAGTTCTCTCTGTCATGTTGAGTAATCTAGCACCAAACAAGTCATAATGCAGGTGTTTAAAAGAGTTTTAAAGAGTTTTTTTCCCCACAAATTATTGAATTGAGTAAATTCATTTAAGTAGTTACGTTTTTAGGGGCGTCTTATAGCAAGCAATTACAGATAAAGAATATGAGTAAGACCCTTGTCCCTTCCATCCTTCCTTACAGTAGGAAGAGGACAGACTGAGGCTTGACAGGGTTGGAAGATGGATCAAATAATAAACCATCAGAATAGAAGGCCAGGACTTTGGCAATTACTCTTGGGTTTAGTGTAAGCCTCTAAATTACTCAGACCGCTTGACTTCCAGGGTATATATTGTTACGTATGAGTGTGACATTCTTAACAGAAATGGGAAGACTTCAGAAGTGAAATCCCAGTTCAGATATTGACCCCCTCCTCAGACTTGCTGGACAACTCCATCAAAGTCACTTTTGTGATGTCACAATTCAAGGGTGTGAGATGTGATAAACAATTTGTATTCAACCAGATTGTCATGAAGATCACAAATCATAACACAGGAAAATACTTTATAAGTTTAAGGCACCATGCAAATGTTAGCTATTACATCTTTTCTGTCTTAAAACTTCCCATCTGAGTTAAGAACGTTATCATATCTGAGTGCTGCTATTTCTTTTTTCAGTTGGATGAAAGAGAATGGTAATTTTATCACTTCTACTAGGTATAAATATCCAATCCTTTGTGGAGAGTAAAAATCTGGCTTAGATACATAAGCTTTTTTTTTTTTTTTACATCCTTTGTTGCCATGTGCTGAGTGTAGCCACATTTGAGTGAGATTTGTTGTTCAGCTTTGAACGGTGCCAGAGATTGACACAGTTTTGTTAAAGTTCTTTCCTCACAACAGACTCAGGGACATATAGGTGGCAAGGTTCTCAGTTTTCAGGTGGAGAAACTGCCTCGTAGAAAGTAATTGATGGATAGGGCTTGTGCAGCACTAACCACCCAGGTTGTGTTTCATCACAGCACGTTGAAAGAAATCTGAGACAGAGCAGTAGTGAGCAACTAGTCTTTATTTATTTTAATGATAATATTGCAGTGTAATGCTCAGAAATATTCCAAAACAATAAATAAACACCTAGGAATAAATTGACTCAAAAGGGTGAAAGTTTTCTATAATGAAAGCTATAAAACATGGAAAAAAAATTGAAAAGGACACACAAAAAAGGGAAAGACATCCCTTCTTCACGAATTGGAAGAATCAGTATTACCACAGTGTTCTCACTGCTCAAGGCAATCTATAAATTCAGTGTAATCTCTAAACAACAGCAACAACAAACAATGACTTTGTTCACAGGCATAGGCAAAACAATCCTAAAATGTGTGTGAAGCCACAGAAATCATGGAAGAGCCAGAGCAGGCTTGAGCAAAAAGGAACAAAGCAAGAGGCGTTATACTACTGGACTCCAAAACTTACTGCAATGGTGTGGTGATTAAATGAGGTGGTGTTGCCAATGTTAGAATTTCAAAGTGAGAAAATAACCTAAAACTAATGTAGACGGGGAAATGTAAATATGTGTCTAGAGTAGCCTAGAATGCCAATGAATAACTTGTTAAATTTAATAATTCTAATGGTGTGTTACTAGAATTCACTTTATTGATGAAAATAACTCTCAACCCAGGGATTGGGACTGGAATTTAGGATTGTTGAATAACAGCACAAAAGTTATAGCTGCCAGTGAACCTAAGTTTTCTCAAAAGGCAGGCTTGGAAATTCAGGTTTAGGATTTTATTTATGAAAAATGTTAAAAGTTTTG